CCCATCGGCCATATATCGCTCTGTCATCTTTATTTGATGATGAAGAGCTCATTTGTAGGCCCATCGGCCATATATCGCTCTGTCATCTTTATTTAATGACGAAGAGCTCATCTACAGGACCATCGGCCATATATCGTTTTGTCATCTTTATTTGATGACGAGGAACTCATTTGTAGGCCTCTGAGCCACATCTTGCTTCGTCATCTTTATTTGATGACGCGAAGCTCAGTTGCAGACCCATCGGGCATATATCGCCTCGTCATCTTTATTTGATGACGCGAAGCTCATTTACAGGCCCATCGGCCATATCTCGCTCCGTCATCTTTATTTGATGACATGGCGCTCGCATATAGGCCTCTGAGCCATACATCACCCCGTCATCTTTATTTGATGATGTGGGGCTCTCATGTAGGCCTCTCGGCCATACATCACCCCGTCGTCTTTATTTGACGACGTGGAGCTCTTATGCAGGCCCCTCGGCCGCACCATCGCCCCGTCGTCTTTATTTGACGACGTGGAGCTCTTATGCAGGCCCCTCGGCCGCACCATCGCCCCGTCGTCTTTATTTGACGACGTGGAGCTCTTATGCAGGCCCCTCGGCCGCACCATCACCCCGTCGTCTTTATTTGACGACGTAGAGCTCTTATGCAGGCCCCTCGGCCGCACCATCGCCCCGTCGTCTTTATTTGACGACGTGGAGCTCTTATGCAGGCCCCTCGGCCGCACCATCGCCCCGTCGTCTTTATTTGACGACGTGGAGCTCTTATGCAGGCCCCTCGGCCGCACCATCACCCCGTCGTCTTTATTTGACGACGTGGAGCTCTTATGCAGGCCCCTCGGTTGCACCATCGCCCCGTCGTCTTTATTTGACGACGTGGAGCTCTTATGCAGGCCCCTCGGCCGCACCATCGCCCCGTCGTCTTTATTTGACGACGTGCAGCTCTTATGCAGGTCCCTCGACCATACATCGCCTCGTCGTCCTTATGCGACAACGTGGAGCTCTCGTACAGGCCTCTCGGCCCATCGGCCTTACGTTCTGGTCATCTTTATTTGATGAACTAGACATCATAGTGTGGACGGTTGCTCGACCCATCCCTTAGTCATCTTTATTTGATGACTAGGACTACTGATCATGATGAGCTACCCACATCTAGAGATCGGCCTCGACCATCCAGCAGACGGGCACCACTGCAGATCCATCTCCAGGCCGAAGGGCTCGCACCTTTTGTTTCATTTTGGGGGCATCCGGTGTACTCTTTTTCCCTCATTAGGATTTTTTCCCACAGGGTTTTTCCTAATGAGGTTTTTAACGAGGCATCTCCCCATCGTGGATCAAAAGGTGTCAACCCTCGGCCCCCTATTGAAGACATCATCCGACACGCATTACTCTACTCCTCTTCACCTCATTACACTCGCCTCAAGGAGTGGGGGACTGGAAGAGCGGGGGACTTAGCGTCTCCGTTAACCAAAGAAGCGGAAATTCAAATTTTTGTTCATGAAGTTTACTCACCAGACGGCGACAGATCAGCACACAGTTCTACTCTCTTTCGCCTCGAATACTCTCGACTCAGAGAGTGGGGGACTCTTGATAGAGTATATAGACTCGGACCCCCGGGTCTCACGACTATTGGGCCCAGACAGCGGCCCACACACATCTTACGGATATCATTTGTATTATTGTACTGCTTATATGTCATTTGTATGTAACTATGTACTAGATTAGTCTTTTATGTAGTTGGGCTATCGGGCCCATATTAGCGGCCCGACCCATTATTTCCCTATTTATACTCCTCTTGGAGCCATTTGTAAACCTAACTTTTCCTAACTCATAATTCATACACAATATCACATTTCTACTATTCATCCATCTTCTCCAATTATCTAGCTCAATCTCTCCATTTTAATATACTTTGGATACCCTATAATCCATCAGGAGGGCTTCCATGTTCGAATTGGTGGACGGGCAGTTGTACAAAAAGACATTTGGGGGGCCGTATCTGAAATGCCTCCCACCCGATCTAGCGGCAGCTGTAATGGAAGCGATTCATGAAGGTATCTGTTCCAGCCACCAAGGGCCCAAGACACCGGCCAGAAAAATCATCTTGCAAGGGTATTATTGGCCAACTATCCAATAGGACTGCTTCGCGCATACTAGGAAATGTAAGGTATGCCAATTATACGCACCGGTTCCCGGACGGCCTGCCACTTTCTACACTCCAATGACGGTGGCCCTTCCATTCGCAAGATGGGGAATAGACCTGTTAGGTCCTCTACCTACTGCACCTGGAAACAACAAGTACATCATTGTGGGGATAGATTACTTCACCAAATGGGTAGAGGCCGAGCCACTGGCCAGCATCACAGATGTTAAATGCCAGAAGTTTGTCTGGAAAAATATCATTTGCCGGTTCGGGATCCCTGAACAGATTATAACTGACAATGGAAGGCAGTTCGTGAGCCGAAATTTTGAGAACTACCTGGTCAAATGGGGGATCAAGCATTCCAGAGCGTCCGTCGCATACCCTCAGGAAAATGGCCAGGTAGAAAATATGAACCGAACTATCATGGATGGCATGAAGAAGAAGCTGGAAGAATACTCCTCATCGTGGCCTGATCAGTTGAATTACATTTTGTGGACTTACAGGACCACACCCCGAACGGCCACGGGAGAGACTCCATTTGCCCTTGCCTATGGTTTTCAAGCCAAAGTACCAATGGAGATCCTAGTTCCCACACACCGAACGGTGCATTACAGCCCAGAACAGAATGAAGATAACTTACGGGCCGAATTGCATTTCATAGAAGAAAGAAGGGATCTGGCAGCGGCACGAATGGAAGAGTATCACAGAGCCACACGAAGATACTTCGATAAGCAGGTTAAAGTTCGTTCAATCGAGGTAGGGGACCTGGTACTAAGAAAGAGAGAGAAAAGCAAACCGCTCGAAGGGGGCAAAATGACACAAAATTGGGAAGGCCCCTACCAAGTATGTAAGAAGTATGCTTCAGGAACGTTTGGCCTACAAAATACCGAAGGCCGACCGGCAGGAACCTGGAATGTGGAGCATCTGAGGAGATTTTATCAGTAAAAACGGCTGTTGCCACCTCTAAAAAAAATAAAAAATAAAAATAAAGAGGGAGACATAACTTCCACAAACTTAGCCCATGGTTAACTCGATCATTCCGGATAACCGAATGACGAACGGGTTAACAACATGGAAGGAAAATCAATTCTCAGTTTAGAGAGTTTTTGACCCTAGAATTACGAAAGAATAAAGGGATAAAAAACGGCTTGAAGAATTGAGGCTCGGAAAATCGGTGCCCGTGGTTAACTCAATCATTCCGGATGACCGAATGACGAACGGGTTAATTCCATGGAAGGAAAATCAATTCTCAGTTTAGAGAGTTTTTGACCCTAGATTTATGTAAGAATAAAGGGATCAAAAACGGCTTGAAGAATTGAGGCTCAGAAAATCGGTGCCCGTGGTTAACTCAATCATTCCGGATGACTGAATGACGAATGAGTTAACAGCATGGAAGGAAAGTCATTCTCAGGCAACGACTGAGAGTTTGACGCTTAGATAGTCTCACCTCAGCGGTTAATATGAGAATCGATTCTGGAAAACCGAATGACGAACATATTAGCAGTTTGGAGGGAGCCATACATTTCAGCAAGAGTTTTGACCCTGTAATTACGCATGGATGAAGGGATCAAAATGGCCTGGAGTTCGAAGGACAGTGATTCTCACCTCAGCTTGTTAACACGTGGAATCATTCTGGATGACCGAATGACGAACGGGTTAACAGCTTGAAGGGAGCTGAGTCGTCAACTTAGCCAAAGTCGACCCTGTAATTACGTACGAGCAAAGGGATCAAAACGGCTTGGAGATGGTGTCAAGACTGTAAGATATGGATTAACCGAGCGACGTTCGGATAAGGTACGGATTGTCACCCGGGGAATCGGAACTATGGTTTTGAAAAATCTCGCCTCAGTCATAAAACTTGACTTGGAAGCTAGTCGCCCTTTTAGCTATAAGTAAGGAATGACCCAAATTCGGTGATCTTGCTTACAGTTCGAAAAGGGTTACCTCAGACCCCTAATATGGATGATACGAGCCAGAGAGAACGGTTCGGAATGCATCGGAATTATGGGTTTGGAAGGGAGAGAGCCTCACCTCAGCTTGTTAACGCATGAAATCATTCTGGATGACCGAATGACGAACGGGTTAACAGTTTGGAGGGAGCCCCTATCCCAGCCGAGAGTTTGACCCTGTGGTCACGATCAAAATGGCTTGGAGGAATTCACCTCAGCTAAGAGTTTTGAACCCGTGCGTCACGAACATGAAAAGGGATCAAAACGGGTTCGGGAAAGGTGTCAGAACAATTGTGAAGAGAGTCTCACCTCAGCTTGTTAACACGTGAAATCATTCCGGATGACCGAATGTCGAACGTGTTAACAGTTTGGAGGGAGCCCCTATCCCAGCTAAGAGTTTGACCCTGTGGTCACGATCAAAACGGCTTGAAGGAATTCACCTCAGCTAAGAGTTTTGAACCCGTGCGTCACGAACAGGAAAAGAGATCAAAACGGGTTCGGAAAAGGTGTCAGATATAAAGATACATGAACCGAGTAAGGTTCGGCCACGTAGAGAAGATTGTGAACAAAAAATCTAAGGAAGAATAACAAATACGACAGACAAAGGAAAAAAGTCCAGTTTATTCTTCGGCATTACTAGCCGGAATGTACAAAAAGAACGAATATAAAAGAAAAGAGACAACAGATAAGGAAAGAAGGCTACACTACTGGAGGATCGCCGTTCGGGGAGGATGTAGGCTGAGAGCTCCCTGCCTGCACTGCATCGTCAGACGCTGCTTTGGATCTTTTCTCCATGACGCGATCGTACGTATTCCCGAACAGATCATCGAAGCCTAATTCATTAGGATCGAACGGCTTGGGGAAACGCTCTAAGATCAGTTCAAGATTCCTGTCCAGAAGCAGGTCCTGACTTTGCTTTACGGTTTTCTCGGTCAGGACATCCAAGAAAGATTTCCCTTCCGGCGTGCTGTCCAGGAGGTCGATCCCTGCCTTGAGAGGATCTGAGCTCTCACGCAGAAATTGGCCAAGGTGAGGACCTAGGAATTGCCGGGCCGTGTTCTCCAGAGCGACGTTCAGCGCCTTGCCCCGTTGAAAATCCACTACCGATTGCTGAGCGATCTGAGAAGTATTAACCGTGTAGGGTTCGGGCAGATGATCTCCAACAGCCTTATCAAATTTAATGCCAGCAGATTCAGCAGCCCGCACCTTGGCCCGGAGTTCTTTAAGTTCCCGGTCGCGACGACGGGACATCTCCTGCATCTCGTCCAGAGCAGCTTTTGCCTTCTCACCCTCTTTGGCCTGCTCTTGGAGGTCGGTCGCTAACTTCCGAGCGGCGGAAAGGAGGACCTGGCTGTCATCCCGATCGCTGGCCAGGGCTTTCATCTCCTTCTCAGCAGCAAGAAAGGCCTTGTGATAATACACGCCAGCCTGAAAACAAGGTTACGGTGAAAATCAGATAAGGTAAAACATGAATAGTAGAAAGATATGGGTCGGAATGAAATGTACCTTGAGTGCTTCCTGGTGACCTGCTTCGAAAAGGTTTGACCAGTGAGTCAAATTAGTGAAGCTCGGGGGAACCTTGATCGCAGTATGACACCACATAGAGGATGGCATCAGCCCGAACAGATACCTCCCCTCTGATCTAGGCCCCATGTTTGAAAATTCAACAAACATCCGATCATCGATCAGTGTGGCAGCAAGAACCGGAGTTTGTTTGTTGGCAGGCACTGATCTTTTGGGCTCGACCTCCGGCCCGGTCAAGTCAACCACATGGTCGATCGGGATCAGGTGATCGCCATCATTTCCTTTGCGCTTTTTGCGGGTTTGCTCCGCCGAATCACGATCGGCTATCATCTTCTCTTTCCCTTTAGCAGAAGAGATAGAACGTCGGACGGGTATGGGAGAGATCACACCTACAAGAAAGAGAAATAAAAAATAAGTTGAATCGTGAGAGCGAAGGATGATCGGGTTAAAACCCTACTATGCTTACCGATTCCAGCTGATAACATGCTCGAGGCAGTGACAAAGCTGCGAAGACTTCTGGTCCCTCCCATTCGCAAAGACTCAGCCTGGGAGCGTAGAACGGCATCCACCCTGGGCAGGGAATCCCGAACGGGGTATGCGTTCCACCTGTCCGGGAATGGCAAAGAATCGCCTACCCGAACGAACAAAAACCGCTCTTTCCAGTCAGCCTGCGGGGTAACGTTCTCTGTGAACAGCTGACGGTCAGAACGAGCTACCAGTTTCAGGTACCCGGTCGTCCAGTAGGGCTGATAGCAGTAATGATAAAGGAACAGATCGACGCTCGGGGTGATCCTCAACTCGTGGCACCGGATAATGAAGCCTGTCAGAATACGGTAGGTGTTGGGCACGAACTGAGCGGGCAGTACAGCAACCCGGCGTAAGAACTCCACTATGAATGAATGGAGAGGGATCCGAAGTCCAGCAGTCAGAGCATCGAGGTGCACTAGCACGTGCCCCGGTCTGTGCCTCATAGGGTGCCGAATGAATCCGGCATAGTATTCTCTTGGTGGGGGCAACAACTGGCTAAGTTGCCGTTCAACATCTTCTGGGAGACGTTGTTTGTGTTTGCGTATGCGATTGAAGTGTAGGGCAATGCGTGGTGGCCGCTCGGGCATCCCCTTGTTGTAAACCTGGAGGTCATCTCCAGACAGACATCCATCCTCCTGTGGTTGTTCGATATGTTTGCTGGCCTGAGGATTGGCGGGTTTAGGTGTTTGGGACGAAGAGCCTTCGGCCTGGTTACCAGCGGATGTTTTGCTTTTACGGATCAAAGGCATCTCTTCATATTTTGAGCTAGAGGAGTAGTACATAAAAAACGCTGGATGAAATTTGGGAATTCTAGAGAGAGAAGGCTTGTGAGTATGCAAGGAAATTCTAGAGAGAGAAAGCTCGAAAGAAAAATGAGAAAACAGCAGGAGAATTTAGGGGAAGCACCTCTCTATAAATAGGGAAAGTGCCGCACAAATCCCTAATCCAGGAGCAACACGTGGCATTGGGTGGTTACGATTAATTTGGGGCATTTATGATTCGTTTTTTGTGCACGTACCCCGGACGGGCTTACAGAGGATTAGCAAAGATCAGAGGGGCTTGCTGTTTAGAAAAATGCTAAGTCCTAAATGTCAACCTGAAGCCCGACCGGCCAACAGTATTGTAAAAGGTTATATGGAAGAAAAATGCTAAGTCCTAAATGTCAGCCTGAAGCCCGACCGGCCAACAGTATTGTAAAAGGTTATCTGGAAGAAAACTGCTAAGTCCTAAAAATTGGTTTGAAGCCCGACCGCCTATCAATGTTATGAAGGAGCCCGGGTGCAAAGAAAACCGAGAAAACTGCTAAGTCCTAAAAGTTGACTTGAAGCCCGACCGACTATCAACGTCATAAAAAGATAGCCCAAGGATTGAACTAAAGCCCGACCGGCTATCAAGTTGTAAGAGATTATCTGAAGCAAGAATGTGCCAAGTCCTAAAATTTGGTATGAAGCCCGAACGGCTGAGTACCAGGGGGAAGGGGTTTTTTCCTTAAATAAATTATCAGAACTTTTTAATGCCCGAACGGCGATCAACGGCGTTAAGATTATTTGAGCAAGAAATAAATTAGGAAATTGGTTAAGTCCTACGAAATAGGCCGAATCCCGAGTGACGAGTAAATCATGCATTAAAGACAGAAAAAACAGTATGCAAAGTTTCAGGCAAAAAAGAGATATATATTCATCGGTGCTACTGACCGGGAAATACAGGCTACTTGGAAAAAAGAAAAATTACAACCAGAATTACAGGAGTACATATGAATTATTGATCGGGGGCCATTTCATCTCCCTCTTCATCCTCATCCTCCTCATCATCAGACAGGGGTTCAGGCTCTTTCCCCGCAGCCCGATCGGCTTCCCTCTGCTGAGCTCGCAGGAATTTCTCGAACTGCGCCTGGATAATGTCATATGTGGGGAGATCAGAAGCCTGAACCGGCCTCCCCAATTGAGTTTGAAGCTGAGTGACGAAGGGACGCAGCAAGACCTGGCCGATTTTGCCATACAGATCGGAGACAATGGAGTCGTTCCATTTTTTGGCCTCCGGGTCCTTATCCAAGAGGGCCACCCCTGCCGATAGCCGACCGGCGCCTTTGGGGAAACCCTTCAAATACGCCCCAAAGGCGAACGGGATTTGGGCCCTTGCATGTTCATCCTTGATGATGGAGAATTCATCAGAGGATTTAAACATGTCCCGGATGGCGGACAGATCCACCTTCACTTCATAGGGACCATCTGGGATGCTGGATGGCATTTCTTCAAATCTGACCCGTGCGGCCTCAGCGGCAAGGACCTTCGCCTGGGAAGCTGCGAGTTGGACCCGAAGGGTACCGATTTCAGCATCCAGCCTCTGCTTTTCCTCCACAAAGGTTTTCCGTTCGGCCTCCAGAGAGGCGATGGCAGCAGCAGCATGTTGCTCAGCAGAAGACTGGGCAACAATCAGTTCCCGCTCTTTGGCCAGGCGGGCCTCCCGCATCATAAGGGTGTACAAGCCCATCTACAGAATACCGTTCGAGAATTAGTACTGGTTACAGAGAATAAAATAAAGACAAAGCACAAAAGACAATATACCTTCAGAGCAGTCAGAGCCAGACATTCTTCAGATTGCTCGACCGGCAACTGAGGAAGGGAAAAGTTGTTGAACCAGGAGGAGGTAGACCAGATCTGACTCGCTGTAGATTCGGCCCTCTCTAATACCTCATGAACAGGGTCGGACAGGGAGATCCGCTCGACCTGACCCGTAATATGGTCGGTATGGGTCTCACCAGCATTCGAGGATTCCCCCCGAACGAAGTCGAAATGCTGGGAAAATTGGTGCAGTTGGTCAGAACCGAACGGGTAATCGAGCAGCATGGCCTCTAATTGATCCTGGTGGACTTGCTGAATTGGCTGAGGTTCTGGAAGCGGTTGGGAAGGGGCAGCCTCCTGAGCGGGAACAATGGTGGGAGTAGGTTGGGGATTCTTCCGGGATTTTTTCCGCTTACCGGCCCCACCGGCTGCGATGACTCTGCTATCATCCATAGGAAGATCTGGGTTGGGTGCTGAAAAAAGACAAAGAACAATGTTAGTATCGAGCGGCCCTAGCGTGTGAGAAACTAGAAAAAAGAATAAAAGAACGTTTCTCGCACGGGAAGGACCGCCCGGACCAAGGCACTTGGTTTATCAAAACAAGTAAACCCAAGAGAACGGGCAGTACCTATCCCGGCTGTTATAAGTCGTTCGGGGGTCAGATAATTCATGATGTCCATGCATTTATCCTTCTCCACAGCAAGCACGTCCTTGTAGATTTCTTCAGTGAGGACAGGATCAGGGGTTTTGCGGGGAAAGGCATTCCATTTGCGGGGAATCAGACCGTCCGGGATGGACACGAAGAAAAACCGGTCTTTCCACCCTTTGATCGAAGTTGGGTTTCCTTTGAACATGATGTGTCCCGTTCGGGCACTAGTGGCCAGGTAGCCATGGGTTTGTTGGGGGGCTACTTTGAAAAATTGGTGGAAGAGTTCTAGGGTTGGTCGGGCGCCGGCATCTTTGCAGTGACAGATGAAACCCGCCATTGCTCGATAAGAGTTCGGCATAATCTGGGCCGGTACAACTTCGTAGAAATTGAAAAAAGAAATAAAGAAGGGGTGTAGCGGAAATCTAAGGCCGGCCCTAATCGAGTCAAAGTGGACTATGGTCATTCCGGGCCTATGACGCATTGGGTGAAGCCCGGCTTGCAAACGGAAATCCACCGGGTCAGGGATAAGGGCCGGAATTTCGGCCCTATTGTGAGAGGTCAACTTTTGCCTCCTCTCCCTAATCAATTTTAGGTCAAGAGTATGGCGAGGAACATCGTTGGGACGTCCGGCCGCCATGGAGGCTATTTCGTCCTCGGATTTGGTGTCATCAGAATCCTCACTGGAGGAAGAAGAAGTGCTAGGGAGGTCCTCCGCCTCAGCCCTGGTATTCGTCGCCGTCTCAGTAGAAACACCGGCAAACGGAACTGGGATGACATCTACAATGGCGGTGTCACGGTCATCTCCATGAGAGGCCATCTCCGAATCAGAGGAATGCTCTTTGGGGCTCATCTCGATCGAAGCCATAAATGAAGATGGGGAATCCAAAGTTGGGGAATTACCTGAGCAAGGGAAGCAGGGGGAAATTTGCAGAGGAAACAACGAAGGCCAAGGAATTGCAGAGTCGAAACCCGGAATTGAGGAGTTAAGGGCTAATTTATAGCCTTGAAACCGCCGTGTCAAGAACCAATCAGAGAGCGACACATCACTAGGAGCATTTAAGCTAAACACGCGTCTAATGAAAAGACTAAACGACGGTTATCATGATGAATATGGGGAAATGAAGCGGCAGCCGTCAAATCGCAGCATGGGGAACTGATTACTTCTGTACCCGATCGCCATTCGGGGTATTATGACATTGGTATACTTCCTGATGCACTCACTTCGTTCGAGACATCGGCAGTGGGGGACTTGTGTTGGGATATTGACCTAGAGGCCCAATACCCAGATCGGGAAGGCCCAAGATATCCGGCCCAAATAACAGGCCCATCACTCTATGATGAAAAGATCCAGTAAGGAGACATACCGAACGGGGTTCGGCCCAAATAAAGGTTGGCCCAATAAGAAGTCATACCGAACGAGGTTCGGACTATATATTATACTTGGGCCAATTTGACAGCATCTTCAGTACGGACCAACATCCCGTTCGAGCAACGGCCAACCAGCAAGTGGCCAAGTGCAGTTAATGCCAGACTATGACATCAGCAAGTGGAAGCATGGATGACCAAGTCGGTGGAACAACGGCCAATCAGCAAGAGGCAGCCCATGCTCTCCATTAGTATAAATAGAAGGTTTCAAGTCATTGTAAGGGTTAGCATTTCAATACTCAAGCTCTAGAATAGCATCATTTGCTCTTATTTCTTGTATTAAAGCATAGTTTCCGACGTACCGATCGGGAAATCTCTTGTAATCAGATTGGTTAATTAATACAAGTGGGCTTTCGAGTTTTAGTTAGTTCAGATCTTATATTTTCTTATACACTTTGATTCTGGGCCATTCCTGATATATCCAAAGTTCGTGTTGGGCTTTCGGATCTGCGGGACTTACCCTCAACAAAACTAATAAACTTTTGTGATGAAAATTTCACCAAATATTAGAAATGGAATTAATAAAAAATTAAATAAATAAAAACCTATGAAATGTTAGGTCCTAGATTGAAGTTTTTATATTTCGAGTCCTATACTGATACATTTCATCTCTCAAGTCCCAGATTGATAATTCGTCTCTCTTTCAGGTTCCAGATGGATAAAATTCCAATAAACATCCAAATTGTTTTGGGCTGTATATTAGCAACTTTGCTTGGTGTACACCAAATTTGTACACCTTTTGTGTACACATGTCTGTCCCCAGCAGACAAGTTGTCTGTAGAGTTGTCTGTGGACAGACAACTTGTCTGCTGGGGACAGACATGTGTACACAAAAGGTGTACACATTTGGTGTACACCAAGCATTTTTCATATATTAGCCGTGGGAATGTGACGTGGCTCTGTTGCTCGTACCAGCATTCCAGCGGCCTAATCTTTATCGGTAGCCGTATAATCCCAATTACAAAATCGTTTATGTTATTTCAAGGGTCCCCTAAAACATAAACTACCACCGATGGGCGTAGCTCAACTGGTAGCGAGGGAGTGCCACAAGGGTTAAACCCGGGTTCGAATCTCGGCAACTGCGATGAGAGGTTACTATGCTAAAAAATGCATAGGGTCTCTGCAAGTACCGAGGACAGAGCCCCACTCTCAATCTGTCAGATTGAGATTATAGTCCAACTTACATACTTCCAACGTATCGTCCGATCGACGTTGGGGGCACTCAAGGATGTGGAGTCATTTTTTTAACATAAACTAAGTCAAAGTGTACGAGTGTATGACATCATTGGGTGGAATCAATTCCGTGTCCGCCGTAGATTTCATTCGGTAGGGCCCGTGTATTAAGCTGCCTTCGTCTCATAAAATTTTCCTCGATTTGATCTGGATCAAAATTTAAGAAAATTGAAATAAATTGAAAATAAATGACCGTGGGAGTAAATGAATATTAATCATATAAACTTTTCAAACATTAGTGAAAAAAACGTGATATGTGACGCCGTTTTTGCGGCACATAATTAATAAGCACCTTTAAAATATTAACGTGCAGTGCTTAAAATTTCAAAACGCCGCCCACTAGTTCTGTATATTAAAAATATACTAGTATTTTTAAGTGTGTGCGGCACATATTACCAATAAAGCGCCGCATATGTTTTATTTTTTAATTAATTTTTTGAAGTTTTATTCGTGCGTGCGACGCTTGCTACTGAAAAAGCGCCACATAGGATTTTATTTTAATTTTAATAATAAAGCGTGCGACGCTTCTTCCAAACATGCACCACATATAATTTAAAATTTAAATTCAACGAAATTTAAAATTTGTCTGGATCCGGTTCACAGACAAAATATGTGTTATTTTATCAATGTAAATTTTGCACAAACAAAATATTGTCTGCTAACGTAATTCACAAATAAACAAACAACTTTCACAAACATGAGTGAGTATAAAAGTGAGTATAAGATTAGGTGCAAACATCATTTTTGATAAATTTATGGGTGCCCGACAATTTGTTTTTCTCAGTTTTATCACTAACACGAGCAATTCATCTTTAGAATGAAAAAATCTCTGCGAATCTATGATACAGAAAAGGGAGTAAACTTGGTATGCAACTCATGGTCTAGCAAATGATGTCGACGATGGGGACGTTGATACTTCCAGTGGGCTATAGGGCCGAGAGGTCAAGACTCTTGATGGCAAAAATAGATTTCCAAGCTAGCTACAATGTTGAATGTATTTAAAGATAGATCAGATCAGATCAGACTTTCGTTGTTATAAAATACGTGATCAGACTTAAATAGACCAGACCAGACTTAAATAGACCACACCAGACAAGTAAATTACAGTACAAGTAAAAACATCGTAGTCTCCCACCTGAATGAGGGGAATTATATCATTTATTTATATGGGTCATACTAGAGTCAAACTCTCTAGTTCATCTAAAATTTGAAAAAGCTTTGAATTTACGTGGAAAAAGGTTATGTAAAAATTTATTTTAAAGTTATTTGTACCCATCCAACCCGATATAAGTATCTAAGGACTCCTCGCCTCCCGTTTTCAAAGGAAAAACAAAAGGTTACGTTTTTTTTATCATCAAAATGATTTTCCATTAAAATAGAGCAAACACGCAACACCAAATCCAGACAGATTGTTAGGTATTGGCCCAGTTCAATTGAGATTATCCTAAGCCCAGTTCAATTGAGGTTATCCATGACCCATGTTTTGAATCTCTTTCTTCCGCTCCGCCTGCCTTCCTTGCGCGTGATTCCTTCCCCTGCGCGAGTCGAGCCTTTGCCTTCATCAAGTATGGTAAGTTATCATTTCTAAGTTTTGAGCTTAGCCTATTTAATCTCTCTTGTCCGCTGCAATCAGGGCTGGCCGAAACCTTGCTTCTCCCTTCATTTCGCACCTATAGCCTCTCTGTGGGTGCTCGTACCAATTGGCTGGGAAAAAGCCTTGTGGTTGTTACCACACAACCTCCTTCCTTGGACTATAGTGGAGAAATCATATCCTTTGTGGGTATAAACCTTGAGACCTGAGCTGGAAATGAGTTCTTACACAGATATTACATATCCGATCGTAAGCCCTAGGAATAGACTTAGACTCAACCACCCATACAAAGCAACATGACTCGCTAGAC